ACCCACGCGGATACTGGATCGAACCCGTCGCGGCCATGATGAACGCCGCCGAGGACGCCTCCACCTGGAATCTCAGTCCACAGGCTCGAGGTGCGTTGCGATCTACGGTCATCGGTGCTCAATGGTCTCAACTACGGCTTCACAAGATGGGATACTCGGACACATCATCCTGCCAGCGCTGTGGACAGACTGGAGACCTACATCACCGATTCTGGAAGTGCTCCTATCACTCAGAAGCCCGATTGCGTGCGGTTGATGATGAGCTGGTCGAGATGGCAAAGAGGTCGCATGTGGCGGACCCCTTTTTCACTCGTGCTCTCATGCCCAGGGCGATGCTGCCCGACATCCCGCCGCCTGTGGATTCACAACGGTGGTGGTATTGCATGGGAGGTCAGGCGATGGACATCACAGGCACTGTCTACACGGACGGCTCTGCGCAGTGCCCGCTCTACTGGCCTGAGGCCAACCGTGCTGGTTGGGGACTGGCCATCCTTTCAGGACGTCGTCTCAAGGGCATGGCGTTCGGGCCCTTGCCAGGGCCCATGCAGACGGCTCAACGCGGGGAGCTGTACGCCGCGCTTCAGGTTCTCCGACATGGACGGCTTCCTCTCCACATCAAGACGGACTGTCTTGGCTTAGTCGACTCGCTGACGTATGGAGAAGCTCATTGCTGCCACGTCCGCCGTGACAATGCGGACCTCTGGCGGCTCATCTGGAGGGCGATCAATGATCATGGAGGCATCTCAGACTCGCTCAAGGTCACATGGGTAGCAGGCCATCAGACCCTGGTCGAGGCGGGCGCCGACAGCTTAGACAAGATCGGCAACGACTTCGCAGACGTGGCGGCCAAGAAGGGGACACGGCTGCACGGCGTCCCGTCGGCGGCCTACGAGGAGCACGCGCGCCTCCTCAAGGCGGTCAGGCAGACCGCGGGCTGGATCGGCGCGGCTCAGTCCTCCGCCATCCTGCTGGCGGACCGCGTGGATGTCCAGGCCCGCCGGCAGCGGCGCACCAGCCGTCGCGGAGGCGGACGCGCTCCCCAGGCGGCTGAGAGGGGCAGCCACCCGCGTGGCGCGGCCCCAGCGCAGAGTGGAAAGTTTCACTCTCCCATCCTGGCCACCGTTGGGTGGCGATGTGCTTGCTGCCCTCGGTTCGCGCGAAACGCCAGAGGCCTCAGGAGGCTTCAACGTGAGATTTGCCCTGCGAGGGCGTTTCGGGCCCCCCCAGCCGAGGCTTCCCTTGGGAAGCGGCAGCTGGGAGACCAGGAGACCTCCGAGGTCTCCAGGTCGAAACGGCGTCGGACGGGGGCCGAGGAAGGCCCCCCGCCGAGCCTGGTGCGGGCCCCCCAGGAAGATGGCGACTCGCGGGGACTTCGACGGCGGCGGTCTCACGACGGCGATGGGGATTGTCTCAGGGGAATGCGGCCTCGTGGGACCCCTTCCCTCGTTTCGACGGACCCCTCCTCGCCCTTCGGAGCCCCCACAGCAGCTGAGGAGGAAAGCCGTCCTGGGTCCGAGGGGTTGGCACGCGGTTTGAGGTCCTGCACCCCATCCCCCCGTGTCCCCTCCCCTCCTCGCCCTCGACCTCTTTCGGACCTCGCCTCCTCCTCCTCCGCCTCCCCCGCTGCTGCGCCGCTGCCGCCTGGGCCTTCTGGTCGTTTTTCGAGGGTCTCGTTTGCCGAGGGACCTGGTGCCCCTGAGAGGCCTCAGGAGGTGGTTCGGGTGGCGGCGCAGGCGGCTAGCTCTCGAGGTGTGAAGCGCGCGTCGAAAGGGGCGCCCCCCTCCCGAGCGGGAGCGACGGCCCCTGTGGCCCCTCTCCCGCGCTCGGGAGAGGTCCCCCCCGAGAGCGCGAGGGGGCACACCCTGTACGTGTCTGGGGATCTCGTGGGGTGCAGCCAATGCGGGGCCTTCTCGGCCAGGACGGCGAGGACCCAGCTGTTCTGGGAGTGCGACCCCGAGGCCGCCCTGACGGGCAACCCCCAGCGCAAGTGGCGGAGGGATAATTTTATGAAGGGCATCCACCCGAAGGGGAGGGTGTCCCAGGCCATCGTGCCACCCCGCAGGCTGATGGTCACGGACGATGCGGTCCAGTGGCTAGGCCTGCTCTCTATTTCGTGAGCCCCCTCGGGGCTCTCTTGGGACGGGGGCCTCATTGGCCCCGTCTCGGGTGTCTGGCGCTCGGCCCTGGGCACCTCTCGGGTTCGCTTGGCGTGGCCGCGAAGCCTCGGCTGGGCTCTGAGCGCCCTGGGGACCCGAGTGTTTTTGTGATCGATTGCGCTTTCCTCTGCTTTTCCTGCCGCCGCCGCCTCTCTTTTCCCTGCACTCCGCGCGTCGTTTCATGGGGTCGCGACTCCTCCTCATCCTCCCCATCCTCCCCCCCGCACACTTTGAGGGGGGGATGGGGGACGGTGGAAGAGGAGAAACAACAAAGAAAACCATTGGGTGGAACCCTCCCGTTTCCCGTTGTCTCCTTTCCTCCCCTGCTTGTCGCGTGTGCACGCTTCTTTGGCCTGCCTGCGGGTTTCTGATATGGTGGCATCTGAAGGTTCCAGTTGGTTGTCAATGTTGGCTCTGGTCCTTTCCGTTGTGGGTGGAGGACGCACGTGCTGTTTGGGTTCGTTCGGCCTTTTTTTGCGGCGGTCACGGATTCTCTTTCTGTGCTACGGCTACTACGGCTGTCGTGTGTTGATCAGGGTTGGACCTAAACGGCGTTTTGGCCATATCGTGGGCCGTTTTGTCTTTGTTTGGTTTTGCCGTCAAGGCGAAGCGAAGGCAACACGAGGAAGAACGAACAACACAACGAAAACGAACAACACCGTTTATGTTCAGCCCTGGCGCTCATTGGCCTTGTCTGGTATATCCTCATCCTCTCTTGGGAGAGCTTTGGCCCCGCTGCCTGTGCCTGACCCGCCTCGGTCCCTGCCATCCTCGTCGCAGGCATCCGGGGCGTCGGGCCAGGCGGGGAGGGCCAGGGGTGGGGTGGGGGGGGCGGTATCCGTCGCTCTTTGAAGGTCGGTATTTTTGGATCTCCCAGATCCCAGTGTGCCTCACGCGCCTTCCTACTTCAGTGATCGGTTGGTTTCCCCTGTTCCTCCTCTTCATGGGGCGGGTGGAAACACAATCTACGTCCAACGCCTTCCTACTTCATGGTTCTACCTAGTTCGACCTACCTCTTCGGACCGACGGGCATCGTGGCCCGGGGCCATGACGTGTTCCACATATCATGGTCCCCTCTTTTTCTGTGAGCGCGTTCCGTGCCCCGCTTTTTTTAGTTCGCGCGCACACGTGGGGCAATGGTGCGCCTTGCCTCCCCTGTGCCTTATCCCTTTTTAGCCCTGGGGCGCAGGGCTGGGGGTGTCCAGCGACGCGCCCGGCGTTGTGTGCGGACCTCCAGGCGCATATCGATAAGCTGCTCAGTATTGTCTCCGATTCTCGGAGGGGTGATCGACCGTGTACCACTTGTTGAATACAGCCATCCAACTTCGTCGCCGAAGACCGCCTGAGACCACTGGAGACCACTGGAGACAACCGAAAACCGCTAGAACACCGTCAGAATACCGCCGAAGACCGCCAAAGGCGGATGGGGGACAGCAGGTTCGCGCTCGAATGCGTAGTGCCACTTTGTCTAGTTAGCCAATCAAAAAGTTTGTCGACGGAACTCAGTACACAGACGCTCTAGCATCCCACAAATTTGGGAAGCTGGAGCGCGTGTGCACCGCGAACCCCTTGGCCGATCAGACCACCTTGGTGGACCCTGAGATGTCTGACCTTATTCCCTGGGTCCAGATTTTCATCGAGAATCGTGTTGTGACAGTAGTTCCGCGGCCCGATATGTGCCCGCAGAGGCCGACAATGGCAAAGACATCGAAGTTGGACGGTCGACGCCCCTCCCAGACCCTGGAAACGATCCACTAGCACGTAAGCGTAAAACTTCGCTGGTGCAAAAGGATCTCTTGGGTCGGCGTTGGACCCTCCTCCCTCACCTGGGCGGCGCTTCTGGGGCCGCCGCCCGATGCCGCCCCTCGCGCTGGGGAGGGGGTGTGAGGAGAACAAGCCCGCACGGACCTCCGAAATCTGGTATCTGTGTAGCTGTCTAGTGCTCGAGGCTCTGCTTCCGGGCGTCGCCCGAGGAGCAACCATTGACGGAGCATCCTGGTCTCCGTATAAGCCCATCAAGATTAGTTGAAACAGTTTTTTGGCCGAGATATGTATGTGAGACATTGGTTCCATGCTCATTGAACATTGTCTTTGTTGTTGGAACACGATGTATTTCGAGACGTTTTGCACAAGGTGAGATTCTGATGGTGGAGCCTTTCTCCGGGACCAGCTCATTTTCCTGTTTAGTTTGGGATGGTCTCAGGGTTTGGTAATGGGTTGCTGGAGGCCGACATTGGGCAAACGTTGTTCGTTGTCTATATGTGTGTGTGTGTGTATGCGCGTTCGCCCCGGCTTCTGGGGGCCTGGCCGCGCGCGCATTCTACCTATCTCTTGGCTTGATGTTCTACGCCCTGTCGCTGCGCGCAAGACCGCGGCGCAAAAAAAGTGTCTGTGTGTGAGGGTGTGCGCGCGTGTGTGTGTCTCTGTGTGGGTGTGCGTGTGTGCTTTTTTGCCGCAGCGAGAGGTCTGGGTGGGCCAGGGTCACATCTGGCAACGCCCGAGGGATAGTGTTACATCCCGGGGGTCCCGACCCCTTCTCCAGAGTTGTTTTTTCGTCCGGGACCTGTGTTGGGTGGCCTTGGGGCCCAGAACTCGGATTTAAGCAATCACATCGTCGGAGACCTCGGGGCGCTACTGGCAACCTTGACCTTCCAGAGCGCTAAGACACAGCCTTCTAACTTCTAGACCTGTAGCCTTATGTGGACCGCAGAGAGGAGGAGAGGAAGAGTAGGAGGAGGATCGCATGAGGATAGCACGAGAGCAGGAGTGGGATGGTGCAGGAAGAGGATGGGGAGCGCGTGCAGTCGCAGGGAGTCGTCGTCGCCGTCGTCGTCGCCGCGGCAGGCGGCCGGAGGCCCCCCCCCCTGTGCGACCCATGGGCGCCTGCGCCCCTGGCGGCGAGCGCCGCGGCGGCGCGGCAGAGCCCGCAGCGCGCCGCCCCGAGGGCGGCCGCGCTGGCGGCGGGGCCCCGCCGGGCGATGGGGCGCTGCGTAATGGAGGGGCGACGACAATTTTGGACACCCGAGATGGGCACGGAAGGAATGGGCACTATGCCCAACAGCAAATGTTGTCCCAAACCAACAGCGGCCGCTGTGGGGCAGGCGGCCTTCTGCCTCGAATGGACACAGGCCGCGGCGACACCGACAGCGAGTCCTGTTCAAAATGAACAAGAACTGCTGTTGGGCATCGTACCCATTCTTTCCGTGCCCATTTCGGGCGTCCAAAACAATCAACCCCTGATAGGAAGGATGAGCTGTTTTTTCCACGGTTTCCCTTTTTGGCGGAGCGCCGAAGGGGGGTTATGAAGCAGTGGTGAAGCGTACTGGCTCGCCTACAGGCCCGCCAGAGAATGTTCCAAACATTTCTGGCCGAGACTGTCTTGTTTAACACATCGGGAGAATGTTCTAAGGACACTATTGTTATTATTCGAACCTTTTTGGGTTCTGAAAAAAAACGTGGTAGGCCGATCGGAATGCGGGGACGGTCGGTCCTTGCTCAAGAGTACAGTAAACCCGGCATAGTGAGGATGAGCAGTTTTCCGAGTTGTTCTTCTTGGCGGCGCGCAGAGGAGGGTTAAGGGCCAGGGGGGAAGGCTTCTCAGAAGAAGCTGCTTCTTAGACGGTGGAGGCCAAGGACGCATTCTAAGCAGCAGCCTCCTAAGAAGCCTTCCTCCCTCCCCTTATCCCCGTCGGCGCGCCGCCAACCTTTGCATCCTTCCCCTTCGGCCTATCCTCAGCCGCTCTCGCTGGTTGCGCCCCGCTTGCAAAGTGTCGACATGGGCCTCCACGGCCCTTGCATCCTTATCGTGTGTTCTCATGATACGGGATGACGGGACAAAGAAAGGGTGTGGTCACCCCGGGTTGTGGTTTGCGATCTGCATCGTTGGTGCTCGGGGCGGGCCACAGTGCGTTCGTCGGGCCTCCGCGGAGCGCGGCGGAGAACTCTGACAAGGTCCTCGTCCGCCCCCCAGGGTGCGGTTTGCAAACCGCGCCTTTTGCAAACCGCACCCTTCGGAGTCGCCGAGTAATGTAGTTTTCTGTTCCTCGAGAGGCAGAGGCCGAGCATCAGAGGAGGGCGAGTTGGCACGGCGGTAGTTGGCTTTCGGGGGGTCCCCTGGTCGCCAAGCCTGGACGCAGCTCGGAGGACTGGTGCGTTTGGACCGGGGGGCGCGGTCCGACGTTTGCTGCCCCTCCCCCCCCCCCGCCACCTTCGTTGCCCCCCGCCCCCTCCCCCGAGGCGCGCGCATGGTGGGCGGCAGCCCGGCGGCAGCAGAGGCGCCGGGGGCGTGCGTTCGGTCAGGGACAACGTTGGGGGGGGGTGGGCTCAGGAGGGGACGCATCGACCCCAATCGCGCGTACATCGCGGGCAGGGGCCCGATAGCCCGCCCCCGCCCAGGAACGTGCGGATTCGTTCTCGCGGGCCTATCGCCGATCTATCGGCGATAGCTCTGTCAACCACTCCAGCCCTCCTCCAGTCTAACGTTCCCACGCGGTCTGGAGCGCCGATGGCCCAGTTTCCGTTTTCGGGCCCCGGTGCTGGGCCGTCAGTGAACGGCCCAAGGTCAGGAACCGGTCCCTGGGAAAGGGGTCCAGACCTCCAGGGGTCCACCTTGCGAAAAAGTCATGGCCTCGGTGGTCTGGGGTGGGTGGCGAGGACCGCGTTTTCGGCTCCTGGAGGAGGTCTTTGTTGGTTTGGGCGGTAGGAGGAGGAGGAGGAGGAGGAGGAGGAGGAGGAGGAGGAGGAGGAGGAGGAGGAGGAGGAGGAGGAGGATAACGGAGGATAATGGAGGAGGAGGAGGAGGAGGAGGAGAAGGGAGGCGGAGGAGGAGGAGGAAGAGGAGGAGGAGCAGAGCAGAGCAGAGCAGAGCAGAGCAGAGCAGATCCTCGTGAAGTTCCTGTCAAGCTACCGACCGCGAAGCTCGAAGAAAACTTGACTGGACTCTGAAAGGATTCCTTCGAAACCAGAGGTCTCACGCTGCGAGCCCCTCGAAGGCTCACCAGCAAACACTGCACTGGCCGACGGGCACCCCAGTAAGTAAGCACGCAGCCCTCAGCGGGGGCCCGTACGTCAGGCGCGACGACCACATCCTTTCCCCCGAGGAGGAGGAGGAGGAGGAGGAGGAGGAGGAGGAGGAGGAGGAGGAGGAGGAGGAAGAGAAGGAGGGGCCCTCGCTTGTAGCTTCAGGATGCTTTCCAGCGGCTGCGCCCCGTCGAGGGCTGTCTTTGGCAGCTCTCGATGGGGCGCAGCGGTCTCGGGCAGCTCAGGGATTCGTCCAGCGCTGACGCTTCGGGCGCTCCCAGTCGTGCCGAACGGCCACCGCTGGCCTGAGTTTATGACTGTGCCAGGGCCACAACTCTTACACTGTTCTCGCGACGAGATGCTTCTGCACATTGTCCTGTTCTGGGGGCCCTCACTGGGCCCAGGAACCGTCAGAAAGCGACTCGGTATGAAGAGCTGGACCTGGTGAACTGGTCGGGGCTTCCAGGGACTTCGCATTGAGAAACAATACGTCGTGCTTTTCTCGCCAGGGTGGCCATCAGTGCGCGGCAAGACGTTCTGGGGCGTTATCGTTGGTTTCTTGGGGTCCCTGCCTCGGGATGAGCATGGCGAGGTGTGTGCTTGTCACTGCTTCGCTGGCGTTCCTGCGAAAAGCGTGCTGCCCGCTCCAAGGAACTACGCAGCATGTCCGTCTGCTTCCCGTGTATCCTAGGCCACGCGCAGAGGGGGGCAGGGGGAGGGGGGACGGCGTCTTAGAAGCACCCCTGCTTCTCAGAAGGTGCGGGCCTTGTCTGAGCCGGCGCCTTCTGAGACGCAGCCTCCTTCTGAGAAGCCTTTCCCCCCCTCCGCTTGCCCTCCTCGGCGCGCCGCCAAACCTTGCATCCTTCCTTTTCGGCCCATCCTCGGCCGCTTTCGCTGGCTGCCCTCCTGCTACGTGCTGACTGTACACAGGGTGTGGTCCCGCCGGGCTTCGATTTGCGATCTGCGTCGTTGGTGCTCGGGGGTGGGTGCCTCTCCTCCCCCGCACCCCCTCCTCATGTACCTCGGGAGCGCCCCCCCTCCCCCGCACCCCCTGGTGCGCTCCGCCACCATCCGCCGAAAGCGAGGGCGGCACCACCGGGCGCGCGAGGGCCCCGCTGCGCCGGCAGGCCGACCTGGCCGCGGAGCCCGAGGATGGCCCGCCCGTGGCGGAGTCGCCGGGCGTCCGGGCCGACGGCCCCGCCTGCGACGGGGAAGTCCCCGCAGGCTTCGTCGCGATCTCTGGCGAGGCCCCTCTGGGCGACGGCAACGGCTCGGCCACGCGCAGGGAGGGGATGGGGGGAGGGGCAAGCTAGGTGTGCAAGCATCTCATCTGACGTCCTGCCCCTCCCTCCCATCCCTTCCCATGGCGTAGAGCTCCTCTCTATTCGCACAGTCAGATGTCGCAGCATGGCATAGCATTCCATGGCATAGCACGGCGTTGAAAATCAACGCGTGGCATGACATAGCATGACGTGGCATTGCGTAGTCAAGCATTACATACCATAGCATTTCAGCTGAAGGCATGGCATCGCACAGCGGAACACACCATATCATTGCATTGCCTGCCATGGCATGGCACTCGAAATGAGCCCAGCGTTGCAGCGGGAGCACGATACGGAACGAGCAGAAGCGCGGAAATGAAGCAAGCGCTGCAGCGGGAGCACGACTCGGAACGAGCGGAAGCGCGGAAATGAGGCCAGCGCTGCAGCGGGAGCAAGATTCGGACCGAACGGACACCCGAAAATGAGGTCAGTGCTGCAGCGGGAGCAACATTTTGAAGGCGCCGAAAGCTTGTGTGCAAAAACACAGTACTCGGAGGGGGCCGAACTTCTGGACAGAGCCAGGGGAGAGAGGAGAGTAGTAATCATGATGTGTAATTGTGGACGGCTTCTCAAAAGGAGGCTGCTTCTCAGAAGGCGCGGGCCTTGTCTGAATCTGCAGGGCTGGCGCCTTCGAAGAAGCGGCCTCCTTCTAATCTGCCTTACCCCCGCCTCCCTACCCCCCTCGGCGTGCCGCCAAACGGCGGCGGCGACGTGTCGAGATTTCAGTCTCGAAGATCAGGGGGGGGGGCTTCGCTTCGGGATGCCTTCCAGCGGCTGCGCCTCGTCGGAAGCTTTCCAGGGGAATCGTCCCGAACAGCCTCCCAAGGCCCGACTCTGGACCCACCAGCCACCAGGCGTCGTCTGAGTCAAGGTTCGAGGTTTTTGGGTCGTGGGTGTCCTGCCACGTTCTCGTCTCCACGACTGGATTCTTCACGACATTGCGACCATGATGCACCCCAGGGTGGGTCCCGCAATTGATGCCCCTGCGTCCAACTCGGGAGGGGTCGAAGGGGGTTGGTCGAGGGGGACGCCGAGGCGCGGGGGGGGGGGTGCGGGAAATGGCCCAGACCCATATGAAAAGGGGCAGTTTTGATTCGATGGCGGGGATGGTAATGAGCGGGGAGAACGGAGGAGAGGAAGAGAGGAAGTTTGTGGGATGAGGGATGCGGGAGGGAGGATGGCGGGGGGAAACAGAGGGGGGAGGAGGGAGGAGTGTGCTTATCCTGTTCTCTCCACAAGGCCGATGTGGTGACCGCCTTGCCCGACGCAATGAACCCTTCGAAGCCTTCTTCTGGCCTGTTCAGTCTTGAGGACGTGATCGCCGCCAAGGAGGCTGCGAGGCGCCAACAGACAAAGACCTGCATGCAGTGGTGCCGCCCACCGTTAGATTTGTTTCATTGGTTTGCTCTTGAAGGCGGTCCCCCCTGTGGGATTCCATGGCCCACTAGAGTGACCACGATCCAACGGCAATCGACGATCATCGCCTTCGAATCGAACAAAAGACCGGGGAGGTTCTAAACACCGTGGACCATGGCGAAGCAGTGGCCAGGATGGAGGGGAACTGCCCAGATGCGGCTCAGAAGACACGCACAGCTTGCGGAGGTGCCCAAGTTGTGCTCGCGTGTCTGCGCTTGTGTGGTTTCGGTCTCGTAGGGTCCAAGGGCACACATCTGGGAGCAACGCATGCGCCAGGAGTCTCCTGAGGCATCACGATGGGGCTCTTGATGCCACAGCCAATCGATGGCAAGTTGCGTCCACGTCGAAACACTTCAAGCTCTGAGTCTGGGCGTTGCTGGACCCCCTCCTCTGATGTTGACGGTGCGATCGATTTGACGGTGGTGGCCGCTGACTGCGCTCCGCGCCGACTTGCTAGGCCAATAGCGCACCCAGCGGGCGACTCCCTTCCCGTCACGGACCCGGCTCGATAAGTGCGAATATGCAAGCGGTTCGCCCGGTCTGCGCAGGACTGCCAGGCATTCTTGCCCTCCTGCGGACCGACAGCGGTCCATCCTCCCACCCTCATCCTGTCCCCCTTTCTCGAACCCTTTCGACCCACGGGGACACTGGGTCTCCGCAGAGGCCTCCCGAGGTCCCCGGAGGCTTGCGACGGTACCAGGAAGCTTTTGGAAGCACAAGAAGGACCAAAGACGTCCAGGAAGCCTTGGGACAGCCAGGCACTAGTCCGCCGACGTGATGATTGAATTTTGGCCGTCTTGGAGTCGTACTGGGCCGTCTTGGGGCTCATTTGGGCGTCTACTTCGGTGGTCTTCTGTGGTCGCCTTGGGGCAATATTAGGCCCTGCGGGAGTCTTCTTAGGCCGTCCTTGGTCCCTCCGGAGGCCCCCTCGGGCCAACTCGGGTCTCTCTTGGGGCCTTCCTGTATCTTCGAGGTGCGTTATTGGGGCTCTCAGTGGTTTCTTGTGGGCCCTCGAAGACTGCCAAAGTACCGATCTTCGACCGAAGAATGCTGGATAGGGAAAAACCGCAATATGGCACCAAAGGATCATCCGTGTTCTTCATTATCGATGGTCTTCTGGACTTCTGGAGAGCGTCTCAGTTGTGTATTGTAGCCTGTTGGAGGCTTCCTGGGACCTACTTAGTGCGTGCAGCGGAGTGTGAAGAGAGAAGGAGCCTCTCAGAAGTCTTCTAGACACCCACCAGACAGCACTCAGCACTGGGAGAATGGTGGCCGATAGTTTTCGATCGCCTGGGTGTCTGGACCGCAGGAGGCAGGCACCTCGTGGCAACAGCTGCATCGCAATCAGCAGCGAAAATAGTGGCAAATGGAATGCAGCCACCATGGTGCAACTGGCACCTGGGTTAAGAACAACCCTATCTCGGGAGAGGTACCCTTACGTGCTTCGCGTTTGGACAATTTCACCTTTACATGCCCTTCGCTCGGGGTATCGCCATGGGGCCTGCCCCCCCCGCGAAAGGGCTAACAGTTGTATCCCACGTTCCTGTGGCCATACTTCGACTGTATAGCAGAGCCGGAGCACGGCAGGTCAGTGTCGTGCCGGCACGGCGGCGAGCCCAGCGCAGGCCCTCGATGTTGGACGCCGCTGGTGGCCCAGAGCTTGGCGGGCCCCAGAAGTGGCAGGGCCGTTTTTGTCACCGTTTCCGAAAGGTGTCTCTTGAACATGGGAGCGGCAGCAGGACGGCGACTGGAAGCGGCAAACACATTGCTCTGGGATTGGAGTTGGAGCCGGAACCCCCCTCCTCCCCCTCCTCCTTCTCCTCCTCCTCCTTCTCCCTCCTCCCTCCTCCCTCCTCCCTCCTCCCGGTAACGGGTCGAGCCCCACGGCTGTCAGCTGACGCCGCCCACCTGCGTGTCTTAGACCGCGGCGTTGCTCGTTCATATGGGGCGGATTGGAGGGCAGGATTACATGGGATTGGGTTCGGAGCTCTGGTACTGTGTTGCTGTATACTGCAATCCTTAGGTGCCCGTGCGATCCTGCATTGCCAGACTTTCGCTAGTCGCAGCGCCACCGTAACTCGACAGGCTAGTTGCCTCAACGAGCAGGCAATCCAAAAATCCGGTAACGGCACCAATAACGATGTCGGAGCCGGCAAGAGAAGGGTAAAACGTAACCAGTAAAACGTACCTTGGCGAAGGACCTAACCAGATGTAGCTGTGGGGACCGCAACTGTGAATATCTTCATCGGTGAAGCTCCCTAGGGGGCCACGAAGCGCTGTACTGGGTGGGGTGGAACGCATGCAGGCGGTCCCACTGGGGCCTTCGGTGGGCTCCCTATTGGGCCACGAAGCGCTGCATTCGGTGGGTAAAAATGCCAAATGGGGTGTGTGGGACGCATGCGGGCGGTCCCACTGGGGGCTTCGGTGGAGCTCCGTGTGGGGCCACCAAACGCTGTACTGGGTGGGTGAAATGCCAAATTGGATTTCCGGGACGCATGGTCCCACTGGGGGCTTCGTTGGAGCTCCCTATGGGGCCTCGTAACGCTGTACTGGGTGGGTGGAAATGCCAAACTGGGTTTCCGGGACGCATGCGGACGGTCGCATTGGGGGCTTAGGTGGATCTTTTTATGGTGCCACGAAACGATGCACTCGGTGGGTGAAAATGCCAAATTGGGTTTCCGGGACGCATGCGGACCTGTGCAATGGGTGGGTGAAAATGCCAAATTGAGCTTCCGGGACGCATGCGGACGGTCGCACTGGGGGCTTCGGTGGATCTCCCTATGGTGCCACGAAGCGATGCACTCGGTGGGTGAAATGCCAAATTGGGCTTCCGGGACGCATGCGGACAGTCCCATTGGAGGCTTCGGTAGAGCTCCCTATGGGGCCACGAAGCGCTGGGTGAAAATGCCAAACTCATGGATCCCACTGGGGGCTTCGGTAGAGCTCCCTATGGGGCCACGAAACGAAACGGTGTATTGGGTGGGTGAAAATGCCAAATTCATTCCTGCGCCCCGGACGGTCGCACTGGGGGCTTCGGTGGAGCTCGCTATGGGGCCACGAAGCGCTGTACTGGGTGGGCGAAAATGGCGTCCTGGACGGTCCCATTGGGGGTTTCGGTGGAGCTCCCTGCTGGGCCGCGAAACGCTGTACTGGGTGGGTAAGAATGCCAAATTCACGCGTCCTGGGCGGTCCCATTGGGGGCTTCGGTGGAGCTCCCTATGGAGCCACAGAGCGCTGTACTGGGTGGGTGAAGCGCAGGGAGGAGGGGGAGGGAGGAAGGAGGGAGGAGAAGCGCGGGGACCGTCTCTTCGAAACGAGGACCCAACACCACAGGATGGTTGGGAAAAACGGGCTCTGCCGTTTCCAGGGCCCACTAAGGCTCAGAGTCGGCCGACATCGGGACATCTGCGCTGTCGGAAATCATCGATCGTTCAGTGTTGAACGATCCACGCGGTGTCGGAGACTCGGGCTGGGGTCGTCACGGCACAAACCTGTCGAAGCGCGAATCGCTAAATCCTGGCCGCGGGTCGCAGAAGAGGTCCTGCTTTGTGTGTCCTCCTGGGAGGCGGCTACTGCCCACTTGCCGGCTGAGCGAATGGCAGGAGCCGCACGGGCGCGCGCTGCCCCCCCCCCGGTTCCACGCGCTGCCCCTGCCGGGAGGGCGTTTTTTGGTGTTCTGTTCCGAGGCTCGGATCGCTCCGCATCCGCCGCACTGGGACACCGGTCCTGTCTGGAAGTCTCGGGCCGGACGAAAGGGGGGGATTGGGAAAGGGGGGGTTACGAAATTTGCTGCATGCAGCTGGTTTCGGCCCCACCGAGGGGCCCAGTCCTCGATACATAGCCGCCTCCGGCGCCAGGAGGCGCCGGGAAAATCAGCTACGTGAGCTGATTCTCAACCCCCCCTTTTGCTATCCCCCCCTTTCGCCCGACCCGAAAGTCGGGCGGCGGCGGAAGTGGATACATTTGGGCCCCAGGGGGCCCCAGCATGTCCATATCCGTTGCCCCCTGAAGACCACGGATATCGGTTCCCCATGCTGAGGATAGGGATAAATCCTCGCCTCGCGGATTTTTCCTTGTTTTTTTTGGGGGGGGGGCCTTTGGAGGCCCCCAGATGCTTCCAGCCCCTGGACCAGATCCCTCCATGGTATCGCCCTCCAGAGGGTTCTCTGAGGACCTCGGAGGACTTGCACCTCCAGCGCTTTGACAAAACCACGAAGGATGGTTTTCGCCGCTGTCGGCTTCGAGCGGGCTCACGCATTGAATCAAGATTTCGGAGGACCAGGTGGTCATCCCGACCGGGGGGCAAGGGTCTCTGACAGCGGCCGGAAATTGAAAACCGCCATCAAACCGGCCCTCGCGATTTTTTGTTCTGGGGACGCCTAGATCCAGGCCGCCCAGATGGGGCCCGAGCAGATGGAGTCGTAGGGTGACGCCGCATGGCCGATGCATCGGCAGTGCGGCACGATCCAGAGCCCGAGTTGTTCCCTCCCGGCGATGCTGGTGCGTGGCCTATGCCTCGGGGCAATGCGGTGCCATATCCTCCGGCCCCAGCGGCTCCGGCCCCCTCGGGGCGGCCTCCCCCTTCGCTGGGCTCCTCTCCTGCCGCAGGAGTGCTGGTGCACGCAGGAGGTCGTGTCCGTGTACCTCCGGGGGCGGCAGGGCGACCCCAAGCGCGCCGGGCAGGTGCTGGCGCGCGCCCTGCTCTGGCGGCAGAGGTACGAGGACCGGGGGAGATCATAGCGGGTAGGGAAGGGACGGGGGCGAAGACCGACGGCAGTGCGTCATGGAGCGATCTTTCTGGTACCCATGGTCTGTCTTCCGACAGCCTTGTCTCAAATCAGAGCGTTCAAGAGCGCTCGGGAACGGCCGCGGCGCCCGCTGCATCCCCCAGACCCGCCGACCCTCAGAGTTTCCTGAGGCGAACTGATTCGTGGGGTGGGGGGGGCGGAATGGGTACAGGGACAATGGGCTCGAAGGCGAGTAGCAGTTCCAATCTATTTCGAACAGGACTCGCAGTGGGTGTCTCCGCGGGCGTTGCCGATTCGAGACGAAAAATCGATTGGCCACAGCGGCCGCTGTCTGTTTGGAACAGGATTTGCTGTTAGGTATCGTGTACTCTTTCCTGTGCAATCATCGTGTGTGCCAAGAGGACGTCGGACCACATGGCAAGATGTCTGATACGAGGGGGTCTGCTCCGTTTGAGGTTCCCGGGCGTCATCAATACGTGAGTAAAGTCGCGGCGACAAGTTTTAAGTAGTTTCTGGCCGATCTGGGGGGCTTTACTAGTGCTAGGCCTTGGGACCCTCAATAATTGCGCGGCTTCAAAAGCTTGTCCCAACGACCTCCGGGCGCCTATGGAAGATCCCGGCTGCCGGATGTAGAGCCGAAAGGCTCAGCTGCTCAGCTGTGACAAGGTCGAGGGCATTGACCACCGTGTGCCCGCTGAATGGGCTCGATCTTGAGTTCATTCGGCCACTCGGCGGCCGAGTCGGCCGCCGACCGGGCTCAGAAGCCGATCGGGCTCAGAAGGGAACCTTGGGGTGTCCCTCCGAGGTTCGAGGTTCTTCGGATTGCAAGGAAATTACCCTGCGACATACCCAACCCTTTTTATACACGTGGCGTTTATATTCAGGACCACTCAATGCTGACTGGCATTTTGAAGGACTCGCAGTGCGCAAGAAGAGCACTCAGGAGTGAAATCAGAAGAGAGTGTCAGGAAGAGGAACAGCAAACATACACAATGGAAGCATAAGAGCGTTGAAAGAAACACAAAGCGGGGGGCGGCGAGGGCTAAACCAGAACATCGGTTAACTCAGCAAGGCGCTGCGCTGAAAGAGGCAACTGCATGAGGTGCATAACGGGGGCGGAGGCGCACCCAAAAGTGGAGACAAAAGGGTGCGGCAGCGAACGCGAACCCACATAAAAGAACCAAACATTAAAAGCAAAAGATAGCAGCCCCGAGGATAAGCAGGAGCAACCAGTCACCTCGTGGAAGTTACCTCCGCTGGGCCACCCAGGAGCCCACGGAAGTGGCGACAGTTGCGCAGATCGCAAGCCCCCCGGGGGCGGCGAGGTACCGAGGTGATCCGCGTGGGACGTACCTCCGCTGGGCCTCCCAGGAGCCCACGAAAGTAGCGACAGTTGCGCAGATCGCAAGCCCCACAGGGATCGGCGAGGTACCGAGGTGATCCAGCCTCCTATGCGGTCCTATGCCGTCTTGAGGGCCTATGAGCCATGTTGAGGCCGCCTTGAGAGAGCATATCGGCCCATCTTCTTGGGCCGTCTTGGTGTCATCTTGGCTGTCTCGGAAGCGGTCTAGGAGGCCATCTTGGCCGTCTTGAGGCCGAAGGGACCGCCAGAGAGGAAATTCAAAAGGGGGACGATGTTTTGAGGTGGGTCGATGCGAGGGCGGAGGGTCGGTCGGTCCCAGAAAGCACCCAACAAGTCTCCGCACACCAGACGGGCATTCTAACACGCCCGCTCCATGCAGGCACGGTGACGGATTCTAAAGATCTCCCGTGCGAGGGAACTTGCCCCTCCCGAGGCGGAGGGGTGAGTTCCTTCCGATCGAGGGTCCAGGAGCGAGGGTGCAGTTTTAGTTGGACTGTTTGTAATGTTTGTTCCGTCGGGTTCCCGAGGTCTCTCGGGCCAGGCGAAAGGGGGGGATTGGGAAAGGGGGGGTTACGAAATTTGCTGCATGTAGCTGGTTTCGGCCTCACCGAGGGGCCCATTCCTCGATACATAGCCGCCTCCGGCGCCGGGAGGCGCCGGGAAAATCAGCTACGTGAGCTGATTCTCAAACCCCCCCTTTGCTATCCCCCCCTTTCGCCCGACCCGAGTCTCCGAAAACCCAGGACGTCCCTCGTGCTTCCGCGGCGCTGCTGCACGCCCTCGGCCTCAGGACGCCGTTCTCGGGCCCCCGGGGCCACCGGATATCGAGCGGGGGGGGACACGCCAGCTTCGGGAGGGGGGAAAGGGCAGCGCTGTTCAGAGTCCCGAATCATCAGGGGTAAGTCGGGTCAGGGATAACTCGGGTTCGTTTTTCGGGAATCCAGACCCGAGTTACCCCGGACCCGAGTTACCCCGGATAACTCGGGCGTCCAGAGCCCCGAATCATCAGGGGTAACTCGGGTCAGGGATAACTCGGGTTCCTTTTTCGGGAATCCAAACCCGAGTTACCCCGGACCCGAGTTACCCCGGATAACTCGGGCGCCCAAGCTGTGGGGCCCCTGGGCCTCAAAAGATTGGGCAGTCGGAGAGTGGGGCTTCCAGATCGTGGGTCCTGGGCTGAACCTGGTCGCATCGTGCCGAGCGCCATGCCCGAGCGCGCGTGGGATGGCCCGGGTCGGGGTCGCGCACGGTCTGCCCCCCTGGAGATTGCCCTGGCTGCCCTGCACGGCCTCCCAGGGTGGCTTGGGGGCCCCAAGAGGGTGCGACTGGCGGCGTGTCCAGCGTCGGGATGCTTGCCAGCGCCTGCGCTTCGCCAAGAGTTTTCTGGGAGTGTCTGGATCGTCCCGGAAGGTTGCCGGAAGCCCGAGCTATGACCTGGAAACCACCAGGGCACCGTGTGGCGAGTCATTGGGGATCGGGGTGGTCGCGCGGTTTTGGGGCTCGGGTCGCTCGCCGAGGACGCCTCGGGCCACAGAGCCCGGGGTCACCGCGCGGTCCGTCACCGCGCCGCTCTGGGACCCACAGGTAGCCCACCAGGCGGTCTTTGGCACTGGCGCCGCCTCCAGAGGCCGCCCGCGGAGCAGCGCCGCGTCTCGGGGTGAGGGTTCTGGGGCCGCCCCGGGCCATCCTGGTAGGGTCTGCGTCCGGGTGCTGTTTGCGCGCAGTCCCAGGCCTCCAGCGTCTCGAGCAGATACTCGACGCGGGGATTCCCGTGTGCGCGTGTGTGCTCTGGACCCCGTGTGCCGCATTCCTCGACGAGTGTCTGAACGGGAAGCGCAGCCGACTGCGAGTGAGTCGGTGTGAGTCGGTGTGAGTTGCTCCGCTGGGGCACAAGGCGCCTCCTCCTCGCACGTTTCTGCCTCTTGGCGCCGACGTCAGACTGTCGGATCCTGGCGCAGTCGGCTGACCCTCCGGGGCGAACTCCTGGTCCCAGTTTAGAGCCCACGCACGGGGGACAAAACAAGCAAGGCATCGGATGCTTTGGACCCCGAGCGCCGCCGTGCCAGGACGTGCTCTCCGGAGCCCGCGTGCCCAGGCCGGTGGGCGACATGAGGGTCATCGCCCGCAGCGATTCGGGCCACCCCATCTCGGGAGAGTGGTCTCTCAGGCTCTCGCTCGTTGCTCGGGGGGGGGGGGAAGATTCTTCGTTCAACGTCCACGTCAGCGAAGCCGAGCTTCGTCAGTCATACACGCGTGCTGTTCGTTCGCTGTTTTGGACGCTGGAATCCGGGCCGAGTCTCGCCGCGGCCAGAGAGGGAGGAGGAGGAG